CAAACAATGTTTGAGGAATTGACTCAGAACTATATAGAATCAATACGGAGGCGGAAGACCTGTCTGGCCAGGATAAGACAAGGGACAAGGCCTGTCAAATGGGCCTGACTGTAAGGAAAATTAACAAAGAAACAAGGTGGTCATGAGTGTCATTTAAAGCTGCGCCAATCAATATTTTTATAGTAACAATGGACCAAATGACTATGTGTAATGTGAAAGGTGTCGCTTGTTGTGACGAACCCACAGAATACCATAACTTAACCCTGCAGTCCTAGTTTCAACCTCTCTTAGCTAACCATTTTCTAGCCTCAGCTCTCGTTTACAGCCAGAGCAGGTTTTCAGCTGTTTTCAAGCTTTGATAGACCCACTACTTGTACGCTACTTGTCAAGAACTCCAAACAGAAACAGCCAGTTTATGTTAGCAACTAGCATTGGCTGGTAAAAACGGGAGCATTTAGCAGCAAAGAGCCACGTGACTTGAGACATGCTCGTCCAAGGAGTTTAAAGAAGACCATCGGACTTAAATTTGTCTGTTGAAATTAAAGGTCAAGTGTGTAGGATTTAGTGCCATCTAGCGGTGCACGCAAAGCGCGAGGGAGAAAGTATGGTAGCCGTGAAAAAATATATATCTAGAACCAGTTTTTGGTTTGTCCAGTCTGGGCTACTGCAGATCAACGTGGGAAGGCAATCTATAGTCTAAGGTAACAAAAACACAACGATTCTTATTTACAGGTGATTATACACTAATAGAAACAAACCTATGAATATTATATTCAATAGATCCTCCTAAATGTTACACACTGGACCTTTAAGAAACGGTTTGCTAACACTTTATCAACTTTATTTGATGTTTTGTGGTGTTTTGAACCCGCTCTGCTGCCCCCAAGTGGCTTTAAGTGAGATATTGGGATAATGTTTCTTTTTTTAATAGGCTAATATACCTGGAGGTTTGCCTTGTATGTCTGCCTTTTAACAAACACTGAAACAATTAAAGAAAGGAATGTCAGTAGGTTGAGTTCAATGGAGCGTTACATGTACCATTATCTACAGTGAAGTTTGAAAGGTTGTTGCACCATGAGGAGAATAACAGTCTGTAGAAACACTGATTGTTTGCAGCTTTTTTTGAATAAAAGACAGAAGAAAATATGTTTGTCTCTGTACAAAAACACAGGATCAGCCCTCAAAATACTTTATCAGTCTTCAACTATCAACTAACCACCATTATCCCATTATTAATGCAGTCACCAGTGTTACCATCACCATGACTTGTCATTGTCTAAAAGAAATTCAATGCAAATTAATAAAATTGCTTCTCAGAATCTAAATCAAAAGTCAATTTAACTTTAAACTCATTCCCTGGTCATTTTAATTTGCACTACTTGATGTAATAATAGGCTTCATCACCGAACTATAAATATTCTCAATTGGTTTCCATGGAGTGACTTTTAATCAGAGAACTTTTGGAAATTATATTTTGCACAGAGTAAGAGAAAAGGGCACCAAAAGCCACACTAACTAAACCCAGGAAATCAGTTTAAATCATGAAGACTAACAACAGTTAGTGCAAGCGCAGCGTCTGTTCGCAGCCCACTCAGTTCATTTTATGCTTAAATAAATTGAA